GGGGATGGAGCCTGCAAGCTGAGCATGTGCCCTGACCAGGAATCCAGCCGGGACCTCCCCGTGCATGGGACTGTGCTCAACCAACTGAACCACACCAGCCAGGGCTGCACGTTGCTTTTTTATGTAGTAATATCACAAGCATATCGAGTGCCAATCATGGGCCAAGTTCCCAAGTTGGGCACCAGGGATACAGCAGGTACTGATTAAAGGAAACTCGCAGCCCTGGGGGTGATGCAGCGGCACCAGGTAGATCTTGGGGATGGCATCTTGCAGTAGTCTCAAGGCAGGCTTCCAGGAGGTGATAACTGGAAGTGAGACCTCAGGGTAATGAGTAGGACTTGACCACACAGAGACCCAGGAGAGGAGAGAGCCAGCGTTTGTAAGCAGAGGAGGGACAGGATCAGATCTGCTTTGTCAGAACGTCCTGCTGGCTGCTGTGTGGGTGACAGCTTGGAGACAGGGAGACCTCTAAGTGAGGTCTGAATTTGAGAGAACATTGGGAGGTGGGCTCTAGTTAGTTCAGCCCTACCTGAACCTGCAGTCCATTGATCCACTACCATTTTACACGTTCATCTTTCCCACTGCCTCTCACAACCTGCTTTGCCCTGTTTTGCAAACACCCACAGTCCCCTGCTCCTCTCTCCTGCTTGGCTAAACCAAAACCCTGGGTAAGCCAAGCTCTCCCTGACTCCTGTCTTTATACAGCTGAACATCATAGGAGAAAAACACTTCTCTCTTAACTGTTCTCACCATCGATCCCCCAGCTGACCCTTCATGCTGCTGGCTTTCCTGTTACATTCCCTGGCCCTTCGCTCTGAGTGTCTCAAGCCTTCTAACTCCAGCACCTCCTTACCACCTCCTTTCAGCTAGTTGCTTTGCTAGCTCTTAAGAAAATAGAAGCTGTCAAAAGAGCTCTCATGGCTCCCTGGCACTCCTCCTCTGCTGTTACTTCACTTGATCTGACCCTGCTCCAGAAAACCACTGTGACCTCCATCTCATCTTCTCACCTACCCAAGGGCACCCCATCATCCTCCCTTTCTCTTGCAACAGTTTTTCCCATAAACGTGCAGATAGTTACTCCTGAACCACCACCCTCTCCAGCTCTCTCTCCAGCTCTCTCTCCACTGCAAGAGCTCTCATCGTTTGTCACACACAGTGTATCGCTATACCCCATTATCAATTATCACTTCTAACCAACCCCACTGCAGCAGTGTCAAGCATAGTTGATTGCTGCCACTTCTTGGAAGCCCTTTCTCACCTGGCTGCTAGGACCCCCTATTCCTGCCCACATCACTGTGGGCTCCTTCACTGATTCTTCCCCACTGTCTGTCTCGTAAATGTTGAGAAGCTGCAGGGCTCAGACCTCTGTCTTCACACACTCCCTGGGGTTCTCTGCTAGTTCCCTAGCTTTAAATCTTTTCTGTGTGCCAGTGCTCCCAAGTTTTTATTTCCAGCTGGGCCTTGACCCTGAACCCCAGACTCACGGACCCCACTTGACATCTCTGCCCAATGTTAACAAGCATCTTACATTCAGCAAGTCCAAAACAGCTCTTGACCTCCCTATGGTCCAACGACATGCTTAGTCCAAAATCCCTGGGCTGTCCCAAGGCCTGTCCTCTCACCTCAAGGCCTTTGCACCTGTTGCTCCCCTACCTGGAATGCTCTTTCCCCAGGTGTCGTGTCTCACTCCCTCGCTTTCAAATGCCACCTTCTAAGGGACCCTTTCATCTAAAGTTGTGACCCATCTCCCAACACTACCTCTGTCTCCCTTGCTTTATTTTTCCAATACTTAGCATTGTGGACATTCTGTGACATTAGCTCTACCTGTTTGTGCTGTCTTCCTCCAAGGATAGGACCCCCAACACCTAGGTGCTCCATAAATCCTAACTGCTAACTCATTATGCCAGAGCATCAGATGCAGGTAGTAGTCACATTTCTGTGGAAACCAGGCGGGGGGCTGTAGATGGATTAGGGGCCTGGGGCTCAGACATGGTGAGGGTGGGGGTACTGACTTGGGGCTCAACAGTCTATGGGCTGATGATCGAAGCCATGGATTAAAAGGAGCAAAGGCTCTCAACAAAAACCTCAGGAAGCCTAGCCGGCGTGGCTCAGGAGTTGAGCATTGACCTATGATCCAGGAGATCGAGGTTCAATTACCGATTCCGGGCACATGCCCAGGTTGTGGGCTCGATCCCCAATAGGGGGCGTGCAGGAGGCAGCTGACCACTGACCAATCATTGATGTTTCCATCTCTCTCCCCATCTCCCTTCCTCTCTCTGAAATCAATAAAGATATATTAAAAAAAAAAAAAACCACCTCAGGAAGCCAAAGCCATAGATATGGGAGGAGGACACCTGGGGAGGAGAGAACCAGGGGAAGAGAATGTTCAAGAAACAAGAGGCTAAGGAAGAGCAGTGTCCTGGGCTCTCAGTTGCCCTTATGAGAGCCTTGTGTGGGCAGTGCTAACAGAGTATGGAAGCTGGAGGGGGTTCTGTGCAGGAACAGATGAGAACCTGGGCCCGAGGGAGACAGACACAGGTTCAGAAGCAAAGGGAAGAGAAGCCAGTGAGGGAAGATTGCTTGTGAGCTGGGAGATTGCCAACATGGAGCGTGCACCCACAACTTCTAAGGGCTCCAGTCAGCCTCCTGAAGATTGATTTGATCTGGGGTCAGATTTGCCAGGTGGATGGGGCCCAAGCCAAGTGGCTAGTTCAGCTCTCATTGAGGTGGGCACTAAGCACTTTAGATTAGTTCCTTAGCGCTCACTCAGTTGACTTTGGAGCTGGGGACTGTTAGTCTCCTCCTTAATGGAAAAACTGAAGCTGCAAGAGGCCATACCCAGCGAGAGGGCAGAGCTGGGATCCAGGTCGCCCCAGCAGCCCAGCCCCCACACTGGGTTGTGCCCAGCAGAGGGGAGCACAGGGATCCCAAAAGTGGGCTGTACAGGGTGGGGCTGTCTGATGACCTGAGAGAGAGGGGAGATGAGGATCCAGTGTGGATGCTGAGGTGCCTGGGGTGATGGGGAGAGAGGGGCTCCTCCCATCTGGACCTTAGTGTCCAGGATTGTCGTATTGCAAATTAGAAAATGATACTCATTCTGTCAGAGGGTGGCAGTCATCTGCTGCCATATCATTGATCTGAGGGGAAGAGGAGGGCTGGCCTGAGCTGTTGCTTCTGGTTGTACCTGGGCCAGCTGGGTCTCCCTGGAGTCGGGCATGATAGAGACCCTCCAGCAGTTAGCCCACCCCAGCTGAGCCCTCGCACGCTCCCTCCCCACAGAGATGGTGGCCACACAGCAGGAGATGAACGATGCACAGCTGGTGCTGCAGCAGCGGGACTACTGTGCCCACTATCTCATCCGGCTGCTCAAGTGCAAGCGTGACAGCTTCCCCAATTTCCTGGCCTGCAAGCATGAGCAGCATGACTGGGACTACTGCGAACATCTCGAGTGAGCCCCAGGCCCACCCCACATCCTTCATCTGCCC